ATATTGCTCGAATCGCCTCGGGACTTAGTGCGTTGGATTCCTGAGACAATTTCACGCCTAAACAGCTGCATAGCAACTTCTAAAAACTGATTTAAAAATTAAAAATTGAACATTCTTCGGCCGATGCGTGACAAGAGGGGATTTTTCTCTATGGACCCCATGAGAACCGGTCTAGCTCCGGAAATATTGCTCGGATCACCTCGGAACTTAGTGCGTTGGATTCCTGAGACAATTTCACACCTCAATAGCTGCATAGCAACTTCTAAAATTAATTTAAAAATCAAAAATTGAACATTCTTCGGCCGATGCGTGACAAGAGGCGATTTTTCTCTATGGACCCCATGAGAACCGGCCTCGAAGGCGGATCGAAGGGAGCTGATTCCTGCAAACGTTGACTCCTCTCGAGCGACTGCGGACTGCACCGTGGTCCCGCCGACCTCTAAGTTGCCCATGACTGCAGTTGCTCATCCGAAACCTGACTTAAAGCCAGGTCAGCCAGCACAACGCGTGTCAAAAACCCCTGCCCGGCTTGGCGGTACGAGATCTACGTCTGATCGCCCCCAGCCTGTTGAGAGTTCCACTGGTTACAAAAAGACTGGGAGAACATATGAAAGACCCTCATTGCAGATGGGCACTGCCGCGTTGTCCCGTGGTGCAGTGAGGCTCGCTTGCCCGCCCCGCGTTCTGGCGAGACGGCTTTTCGTGTCCAAAGTTCGCCCTGCTCTAACAGCCAAGGATATGTTCGATTTCCTCGCGTCATCCGACATCCGTGCCTCTCTGATTGAACAGATTAAACCGCGAGTTGATCACTACTCCTCATTCTGTGTGCACGTCCATCCTGATGACTTCGCTGCTGTGTCCTCACCTGATCTTTGGGAGGAATCGATCGTATTCAGAGAGTTCCTCGGCTCTGTACGCCACCCCATCGACCGCTATGAGCACACCTTGGCGGACCAGGATAAGGTTTCGGCAACAGATCAGGGCCCAACCACGGAGGCAAGTCCCTCTCAATGACCATCCACTGTACCGTCATTGAGATGTTTCTACCTCAATGCTAGATCCATCTCCAAAGGAACTGCCTGTGATTCTCTCCTTACATTCACTTTGCTGAATGATATTGATATTGTGTTTATAACTGAAACATGGCTTTGTGATATTGTTACTGATAGTGAGCTCTCCTTAAATGCTCGGTACAGGGTTTTCAGGTGCGACCGTGCCTCGAGGGGCGGAGGAGTGTGTCTGCTTATTCGAGCCCATATTGACTGCGTCGAGGTGGTGTCGTCGCGGGAAAATGAGACCATTGCGGTTGACATCTCGTACGGAGGGCGGGGTGCCCGGCTCATTTGCACGTATGCTACTAACGCGGGTGATGGTGCCTGCCGTCGTGAGCGTATTCGTAAGCTCTGTTCACTGTACAATTCTCTGTGCTCCTGTCATTTGCCGATCATTGCTCTCGGTGACTACAACCTTCCAGATATCGACTGGGAGAACCTGCGCATAGTTGACTCTGACTCTAAGGAATCTCTGTTTGTTGACATGTGCCTAGAAAATGGTCTTGACCAGCTCGTAGATGGTCCCACCCGTTCGGGTAGCGGGTCGCTCATCGACCTGCTGCTCACAAACGAGCCGGACCTCATCGGCGCGGTCTCGATTTGTGCTTCCCCTG